ACTGTTCAGGGAAAATCCCTACATCAATGAAATGTCAACTGAGTTCGTCTCGCTTGCTCCAGGGCACATTAGGCAACGTCTCCAGACATTTTTGTTGTCGCAAGTGGGTGAGCAGGGCAGGTATTAGTTTTCCCAACAAAGCATGGCCAGACTCCAATGTCAACAACGCCAAGGTCAGACAGACCCCGGCTTCAGGGAATTGGTCTTGACCCAGGAAATCGAATTCACTGTGAGAGAACAAATGAATTCGAAAAGGTTATCTTCTCTCATTTAAAATATTGACTAGAATGTGCATGATAGCATTTTAATACACTAGGTCTCCGAGGAGTCATAGGGACACCAGACTCTTTAGTGTTTTTTTGTTTTTTGTTTTTGTTTTTGTTTTTACAGAGAGGAAGGGAGAGGGATAGACAGTCAGAAACATCGACGACGGAGAAACATGGATCAGCTGCCTCCTGCACACCCCCTACTGGGGATGTGCCCACAACCAAGGTACATGCCCTTAACCGGAATCGAACCTAGGACCCTTGAGTCCGCAGGCCGAGGCTCTATCCACTGAGCCAAACTGATCAGGGCAGACTCTTTAGTTGTGAAAGGCAGTCACCAAGTTCCCAGAAGGAAAGGAGTCGCACAGAGATCACACCTTGTGCTGGGAAAGTGGGGAGAGGTCTAAATAATTGGAAAATAGCACTTTCTTTTCTTTCTTTCTTTTTTTTTTAAAGTTTTTAATTGATTTCAGAGAGGAAGGGGAAGGGAGAGGGAAACATCAATGATGAGAGAGAATCTTTGATGGACTGCCTCCTGCACTGGGGATGGAGCCCGCAACCCGGGCAGGTGCCCTTGACTGGGAATCGATCCGTGACCTCCTGGTTCATAGGTCAATGAAAAACAACTCGGGCTCCAACAGTTTCACAGCACCCCACACCTGCCTCTGTGTCCTCACTTATTTACACGTAGCCGCAGCACCAGGCCTGCACATAGTAGGGCCAGAGTGAATGATAACCGGTGTGGCGTGATTGCTGCATGTGATGGCCTAAGACAGTGGTCGGCAAACTGCAGCTCTTGAGCCGCTTTGTTGACTGAGTTTGCCGACCACTGGGATAGGGCTTAATCACAAGGAACAACAACAGCCTATAATTATTGGAATCGAGAGTCTAGGGCAGCCGGGACCGGTTTGGCTCAGCGGATAGAGCGTCGGCCTGCGGACTGAAAGGTCCTGGGTTCGATTCAGGTCAAGGGCATGTACCTTGGTTGCGGGCATATCCCCAATAGGGGGTGTGCAAGAGGCAGCTGATCGATGATTCTCTCTCATCGATGTTTCTAACTATCCCCCTCTCTTCCTCTCTGTGAAAAATCAATAAAATATATATTTTTTTAAAAAGAGTCTAGAGCAGTGGTCAAAAAACTCATTAGTAACAGAGCGGCAAACTGAGGCTCGAGAGCCACATGTGGCTCGTGAGCCGCAGTTTGCCGACCACTGGCCTAAGAAGCAACAGACAGGTCTTCTTAGAGAAAACTCACCTAGGCCTGACTTATTTGTCAGTTCTTTTTTTTCTTTTTGGTTAGTCCTCACCAGAGGATATTTTTTTTCTACTGGTTTTGAGAGAGTGGGAGGGGGGAGGAGAGACAGAGAGAAACATCTATGTGAGAGACGCACTCTGATTGGTTGCCTCCTGTACCTGCCCGATCGGTGCCAGGGGTCAAGCCTCAACTGAGGCAACTGAGCCTGTGCCCTTGAATGAAATCAAACCCGAGACTCTTCAATCCGTGAGTTGATGTTCTAACCACTGAGATAACTGGCCAGGCCTGTTCATTCATTTTTTTTTTTTTTATGTGGGATAGGCCCAAGGAAATTTTTAGGGATTCTCAACCTACTCAATGCCAGGTCATGGGAAATTATGACTAAAAAGAAAAGCAGGAGTAGGAATTTTACAATCAATTTTATGTGTACTAATGGGTACTATGTAAAGAAGAAGGCCAGCCCAGCTGGTGTGGCTCAATGGTTAAACCTATGTACCAGGAGGTCTCAGTTCTACTCTGGGTCAGGGCACATGTCCAGGTTGTGGGCTCGATCCCCAGTGTGGGGCTGCGGAGAGGGCAGCTGATCGATTCTCTCTCATCATTGATGTCTCTATCTCTCTTGCCCTCTCCCTTCCGCTCTGAAACCAATAAAAATATTTTTTTTACAAAAGAATTAAGGCCAGGGAGAGCTTATAAAATTAGTTTCTCTAAGGAAGGAACTATATACTTAATGGGAGACAGGTTACGGTTCAAACTTATTGCAAAATTATAATTTGACACTTTTTCAATATACCACATACCACTGAGTGGCCAGATTATTATGATCTATAATTATCTGGCCACTCAGTTATATATATATGAGACCTGGTATATGAATTTGTGTATGGGTGGGGTCTGGCCAGCCTGGCCAGGGGGGGAGGGGACATGGGTAGTTGGTTGAACTCCTGGTTGAGGGGAAATTTGCATATTAGCCCTTTGTTATATAGGACCGTGGTCAGCAAACTGCAGCTCGTGAGCCACATGCAGCTCTTTGGCCCCTTGAGTATGACTCTTCCTCAAAATACCACGGCCTGAGCAAGTCTATTTTGAAGAAGTGGCATTTGTTAGAAGTTTAAAAAATTTGCCTCTCAAAAGAAATTTCAATCGTTGTACTGTTGATATTTGGCTCTGTTGACTAGTGAGTTTGCCAACCACTGATATAGGATATACACTGAGTGGCCAGATTATTATGTGTTCAGAGATCATAGTAATCTGGCCACTCAGTGTATATTTTTAAAGGCAAGAATCTAGATATTTCTTTTTAAAAAATATATATTTCATTGATTTTAGAGAGGAAGGGAGAGGCAGAGATAGAAACATCGATGATGAGAGAGAATCATTGATAAGCTGCCTCCGTTGACTGGAATCAAACCTAGGACCCGTTTAAAAAAAAAAATATATATATATATATATTTTATTGATATTTTACAGAGAGGAAGGGAGAGAGATAGTCAGAAACGTCGATGAGAGAGAATCATCGACCAGCTGCATCCTGCACCCCCCCCCACGGGGGATGTGCCCGCAACCAATGTACATGCCCTTGACCGGAATCGAAGCTGGGACCTTTCAGTCCGCAGGCCGACACTCTACCACTGAGCCAAACCGGTTTTGGCCGAACCTGGGACCCTTCAATCCGCAGGCCAATGCTCTACCCACTGAGCCAAACCAGCGAGGGCCACTTTTTCAATATTCAATGTGGACTACGGTCAGAAGTAAAACTTTGGGTTTTGAGTCTAGCCAGGATAGGCACACGGGATGCGTGCCCCTGGACAGGCGGCTCTTAGAGAGATGTTGGATGTCCCAGTGATGTTTGAAGTGCCCGACAAGCATTATCTCAGGAAAGCATCAACTGGACCCCCCAGGCAGGGCCATTGTACAGAGAAGAGAAACCAGAGGCACAGAGAGCTTCAGCAGCTCAAGGTCACACAGCAGGCACGAGGCACAGCCTGGTGTTGGCAATGAAGACCGGTAAGAGCCCTGAAAAGGAAGGCAAAACTCAAGAAATAAGAATTAGCCCGGTCGCCTTGGCTCAGTGGTTGAGCGTCGATCTGTGAACCAGGAGGCCACGGTTCAATTCCCGGTCAGGGCACGTGCCTGGGTTTCGGGTTCGATCCCCAGTGTGGGGCGTGCAGGAGGCAGCCGATCCATGATTCTCTCTCATCGTTGATGTTTCTCTCTCTCTCTCCCTCTTTCTTCCTCTCTGAAATCAATAAAAACATATTAAAAACAAAAAACAAAAGAGATAGAAAAGAGCGGGTTGGTGGGGTGAAGCCCCACCCATCACCACTTCAGAGATTCTCCCTCTGATGCCCACACCTTGGCCGATCTGGATACTATGTCACTCAGGGATGCAGTACCTCTTCTTATTTCAGCTTTTCAAATCGTTTAATAACAACAGAACTGGGCGGACCCACAGACTGTATCCGATATCTGAAGATAGACTCACAGCCCCACAAAAACCGCTGTCTATTCAGACGGTGCACCCAGCACATAACGCTGGCAGTCGTGGGGCCTGTTTGCAAACAGGCGGACCATCTCCCAACCTGCCCCTCAGATGTACACACGGCCTGGTCACGGAGTTAGAGAGGGGCTCAGCTTATGTGGAGGGGAAGGAACCAGACAGAAAAGGGCTGCCCACAGCTGGATTCTCTCTCCCTCTCCTCCTTCACTCTCTCCCTCCCTCCCTCTCTCTCTCCCTCCCTCTACATTCCGTGGTACCTGGCCACCATGTTGTGTCCTGTGGCTGCGGAGTCAGATGAGCTAGGGAATGAGCTTTCTGATAACAGCACCCCTGAGGGAGACGCCTCACTCTCACCCAGAACCATGAGAAACACTAAGAAAATGGTCACCATCCCCTGTGGGCATCTTTGAGGACCGAGGCTCCCAGGCAGGCGCTTACAGGTCATCTCAGAGACCCCGAGGGCGGAATTACCTCTGAGATCTTTGCATTCCTGGTCCACTCTCTCTCTCTCACACACACACAGGCACACACTAACACAGGGGATCCTGCTCCATGCAGAGGGACGGTGAGTGAGCACTTTCGAGCGGGAGCTGGCTTTTACAACCCTTTCTGCTGACCAGACACAAGCGTTTCAACACCAACGAATCAGACCTCTTGGATCTGCTCCTTCCAGTCTTTCTGTTCCCCTGACTTCCGTCCACGAAGAAGTTTTCCTTGACCTTAAAAAGCACTCTGTCCAGGCCTTGGCCTCGGCTGATTCCCACCCAGAAGGGCTGACCAGGGCAACCGCCCATCGCACCCAAAACTCAGCACACGCTGCCTCCCGCCGCGGCCTTCACCCCAGAGAGAGGACTCCCCCCACCCCCCAGGGCAGGCCCCCCGGGGCCAGGGCCGCAGCCGGAGGAGGTCCCGCAGCGGGCGGCGCGGCCGATCCCTGGCTCGGCACCCCGCGCCCCGGGCCCCCCCGGGGCCCGCTCACCTCGGGCCGGCTGCGCTTCTGCAGCAAGTGCTCCAGGTAGAGGTCGGAGAGCGCGGTGCGCATGCTGCCCCCGCCCTCGCCCCCGCTCGCCTTGAGCGTCATCTTGCGGGAGCCGGGACGCCGAGACACGGGGCCGCCGAGACCGGGGGTCGGAGCGAGGCTGCTGGGCGAGGGATCCGTGCCTGCGGGGCGAGGGCGGCAGAGGCGGCGGAGGCGGCGCGACTGGGCCAGTCTCCACCCCCGCGGAGCCCCGCCCCCCGCAGCCCTCGCCCCGCCCCTCGCCCCGCCCACGGGCGCCCCCCGCCGCGCTCCGCGCTGGCTCCCCAGCGCCACCAGGAGGCGCTGCTCCCCTCAAGGCCCCTGCGGCTAAATTCCCCAGGGGCTGGGAGGAAGAAAAACGGCGCCAAACAGTGCAGGGACCCCCATTCATTTAATTTTAAAAAATATATATTTTATTGACTTTTTTACAGAGAGGAAGAGAGTTAGAAACATGGATGAGATAGAAACATCGATCAGCTGCCTCCTGCACACACACACCCCCCCACCCACTGGGGATGTGCCCGCAAACAAGGTACATGCCCTTGACCGGAATTGAACCTGGGACCTTTCAGTGCGCAGGACGACACTCTATCCACTGAGCCAAACCGGTTTCGGCGCACTTAATTTTTGATTGAGCGCAAGGCCCATTCATTCCCTGGCCAAATTCCTGGGAGATCAGAAAGCGTCTCGGGGCTTCCACTGCCTCCCTCTGGACTCCAGGCTCTCCCCATAAATGGATGTGGGTAGGGGACATTGCGAAAAATGCCTTGAGGGCTCCCGAGCGGGAGGTACTCTGTCATTTGCATTGCTGTGCAGTGCTGGCCGTGCTGCCAATGATCCAAGACCCGCTGGCCTCCTGAAGCAAACTGGTTTTTACCTGAATGGGCCACACCTTGTGCTGATGGCGCCACATTTTTGAGAGGCCAGCGGAAGCTAAAGGAGACTACATTCCAGCAGGATTCCATAGCTTCCCAAGGACTTGATTCCGGTCAAGGGCATGTACCTTGGTTGCGGGCACATCACCAGAAGGAGATGTGCAAGAGGCAGTTGATGGATGATTCTCTCTCATCAATGTTTCTAACTCTCTATCCCTCTCTATAAAAAAAAAATCAATGAAATAAATATATATTTTTAAAAAGAGTTTGAAGCCAGATCACCCACTTTTGTCTGCTAAGAACCTGAGTTCACATGATTGATGGCTCCCTTCCCCAAGATTGCCCTAAGGGACTACAGAAGGAGAGAGGAAAAGGGGGAGAGAGAGAGAGAGAGAGAGAGAGAGAGAGAGAGAGAGAGAGAGAGAGAGAGAGAGAGAGAAAGATATCAAAATTAGGAGTGTGATATTGGATATTGGTGCAGGTATAGACTGAGCAAATGGATAGAGAACACAGTATGTGTAAATTGGTGGTGTATGATAGAGGTAGCATTTTATTTTATTATTTTTTAATCCTTACTTGAGGATATTTTCCACTGATTTTTAAAATATATTTCTATTGATTTTTTTTACAGAGAGGAAGGGAGAAGGATAGAGTTAGAAACATCGATGAGAGAGAAACATCAACCAGCTGCCTCCTGCACACCTCCTACTGGGAATGTGCCCGCAACCAAGGTACATGCCCTTGACCAGAATCAAACCTGGGACCTTTCAGTCCGCAGGCCGATGCTCTGTCCACTGAGCCAAACCGGTTTCAGCAAATAAAAATATTTTTTAAAAATTACAACTTAACAGGAAAAGAGTTCCCCATTATCTTTTAAAATTTAACATGCATGTACCTTTCAAGATAATTTTTTTTTTTTAATATTTTTAGCCGGGACCGGTTTGGCTCAGTTGATAGAGCGTCAGCCTGTGGACTGAAAGGTTTGATTCCGGTCAAGGGCATGTACCTTGGTTGCAGGCACATCCGCAGCGGGGGGTGTGCAGGAGGCAGCTGGTTGTTGATTCTCTCTCATCGATGTTTCTAACTCTCCCTCTCAATTCCTCTTTGTGTAAAATCAGTAAAATATATTTAAAAAAAAATATATATATATTTAATTTATTTGAGAGGAAGGGAGAGGGAGAGGGAGAGAGAGACATTTCAATGATGAGAGAGAATCACGGATTGGCTGCCTCCTGCACGCTCCACACTTTGGTGTATTAACACAGTGAAATATTAATGAAGCAAGAAGAAAACAAATCAGAGGTACATGAATATATAAAATACAGAAAAACCCTTCCTTCGCACCTTCCCCAGTTTGGGGGGGGTAACTTTCCAAGCCTTCCTCTATGAGCATACAAAATATTCAGAACCAGAGTTGCCTTGTTTGTCCCAAAAGGGAACCCGTAGAACGCATGCTCCTTCTCCCGAGCCAAATCTTTCTCCATTTCCCCCACCTCCACATGAAGCAGGCCTCCTTTGGGGACTGATCAGAGACGAGATTGTATAACTAAAAGATCGGTTTCTGGGTTCCTAGGAAAATAAAGCTTGAAGCAAAACTGTCAAGGAAGGGACAGGAATTGATTTGCCAGCAGGTTTTGACTTCATCTTCCTCACTGGTCAAAGTTCACCCAGCTGGGTGTTAATTTCCTCATACTTTTGAGTTGGGTTCCTTTGGTCTTGGCTGTCAGTGGGGAATCAGATCCCACAAACCACAGTTCAGTGCCGAGTCCAGAGTCTAGAAGTCGTTAAGAGTCAGAGCCTCCTCAGACGAGGGGTATAATTGGGTCCAATGTTCCATAATTATATGTTAAGTAACTACAGTGATTGATATCAATCCTTAAGAATAGTTTCTGTCTTTCTCTCTTTCCCTAAAATCCACCCATATAAAGTGAATAACTCATGCCGGCTGGTGTGGCTCAGTGGTTGAGTGTCAACCTATGAACCAGGAGGTCTTGGTTCAATTCCCGATCAGGGCACATGCCCGGGTTGTGGGCTCGATCCCCAGTGTGAGGTGTGCAGGAAGCAGCCAGTCAATGATTATCTCTCAGCATTGATGCTTCTTTCTTTTTTTAAAAAAAATTATGATTTTATCATCATTGATGTATCTATTTCTCTTTCCCTCTCCCTTACTCTTTGAAAGCAATAAAATATATATTCAACGATAAAGCGAATGATTCAAGTGTTTTTAGTATAATCACAGAGCTGTACAACCATTACCATTATCTAACTTCAGAGCAATTTCAACATTCCCACACCCATCATCAGTCATTTCCCAGCCTCCTCCCCATGCTCCTGGCAACCACTAACTGGTTTTCTGCAGGACTACTAAATGAATCTACCACCAGGGGCAAAAAAAACCCCAACAAAACAAAAACAAAACAAAAAAAACTCACCCTCGAAGTTTTATAAGTACAGATTGGCCCTTGCACTGGTTAATTGCTGAAAGTCATACTGCCCAGGTGGCCTGACAAACTTTAAGTGGATAATTTAACTTTAAGCGATTTCTTTTTTCCCCTCTAAAATATATTTTTATTAATTTCAGAGAAGAAGGGAGAGGGAGCGAGAGATAGAAACATCAATGATGAGAGAGAATCATTGATTGGCTGCCTCCTGTAAGTTCCCCACACTGGGATTGAGCCCACAACCCCAGCATATGGGGGGCAATCAATTGGGAGGCAACCCAATTGATATGTCTCTCTCACATCGATGTTTCTCTCTGTGTGTCTCTCCCCCTCTCTTCCATTCTCCCTAAAAATCAATGAAAAAATATTCTCAAGTGAGGATTAACAAAACAACAACAAAAGTATAAAGGTATTGCCGAAACTGGTTTGGCTTAGTGGTAAAGCGTCGGTCTGCGGACTGAAAGGTCCCAGGTTAGATTCCTGTTAAGGGCATGTACATTGGTTGCGGGGACATCCCTGGTAGGGGTTGTGCAGGAGGCAGCTGGTCGATGTTTCTCTCTCATCGACGTTTCTAGCTCTCTATCTCTCTCCCTTCCCCTCTGTAAAATATCAATAAAATATATTTTTTAAAAAGTATAAAGGTATGAAAATTGGGAAAGAAGCAACAAAATTTTTATTATCTGCAATTACTTATTGTCTTTATAGAATATTTGAAAACCTACAGATAAATTATTAAAATTGTAAGCACTATTAGTAAGGTTGCTGGCTAGAATCATTATGCAGAAATCAATTGCATTTGTATACCAGCAACACACTGTCAATATAATTGAAAAAACACCATTCATTACAACATCCAGAATAATCAAATATCTAGGAATGTATCTGTCTACACAGAATGTATGGAGAGAATTATAAAGCTCTGTTGGAATCCATTAAAGAAAAGCTAAAAAAAAATGGAGAGATAAGTCATGTTCGTGGTTTGGAAGACTTGGTTTTATGAAGATGTCAGTTCTCCCCAAACTGGCTGTAGACTCGATGCAAGTGCAATAAAAATCTCAACAGATATGTTGTGTGAAACTTGACACTCTAATTTAAAGACATGTGTGGAATTGTAAACAACAAGAAGAGCAAAAACATACTAGAAGGACAAGGTGGGGAGATCTGCCTTCCTGATAGCAAGACCTGTAATAAAGTTATGGTAATTAAGAGAGTTTGATAGAGGCAGAAAAATGAACAAATAGGCCTGTGGAACAGAAGAGAGCTTAGAAGCAGATTTATGCATACTATATCCTATATAATAAAGAGCTAATATGCTAATTAGACCAAACAGCCGATGACCTTCAGGATGTCATTCCCGACAAAGTTGCGGCAGCTGGGGCTGAGGCAGAGGCAGTTAGGGGTGATCAGGCAGGCAAGTGGTTAGGGGTGATCACTCAGGTAGGCAGAGGGGTTAGGGGTGATCAAGCAGGCAGGTAGGCCAGCTGTTAGGAGCCAGCAGTCCTGGATTGTGAGAGGGATGTCTGATTGAGATCCCTGCGGGATCAGGCCTAAACTGGCAATCGGACATTCCCCAAGGGGACCTGGATTGTGAGAGGGTGCAAGCCAGGCTGAGGGACAACTCCCCTCCCTGCTCATGTGCACAAAGTTCATGCACCGGGCCTCTAGTGTGTGTGTGTGTGTGTGTGTGTGTGTGTGTGTGTGTGTGTGTATTTTTTTTCCATTAATATTTTTTAGAGAAAATGGAAGG